GCAAATGAATAGTCTCAGTATTTATCACAATATGAAAATTATTACACTGTGACTATTTCTCTCTCTCTCTAAAGAACAAGGGACTGGAATGTAACCTACCTAATTATATCTCAAAATTCAAGTACTGCGTTCAAATCGGTTTAGAAAATCAAAAACTTAACAACCACTGGCAACCACACCTCTAGGGTAAATATTTAGGACACTGAGCAACCAAAGATCTGGCATCAGAGAAAGCTTAAAGATGCAGATAACACAACATCTATTCAATGGTTTAAAGATAAAGACCAGTTATGGTCATGCGATTGCATTGTGAAAGAAACGTTGTGGAATCGATCAGAAAAGGTTGATCATCTAGCATATAAGTATTGGTGTGTACTGCAAGGTTCGAGAATCATCAAAATGATAAGAAATTTGGCCCAGTCTTCGTAAATTTACAAGCACTGTACACAGAAAGATGTATATGGGACTACGCACACGTGCGAGACACGTGCGTTTATCTCTCACATACCAATAGATAAACTAATTTACCAAATATATCAATTAGAAGGCGGTTTCCCAGCAAATTTGTTATCATCATGTATTTAGTCAAAACATATTCTTTCACATGATTGGTAATTAGAGCTTCCATTTCATTTTTTGAAATTGGGGCGTTTCCAATACTGGTCTTTACCTTTAACATGCTCAGATTTTGTTCAAAATATAAAACACAGGCAGTATTTCATATAACAGAATTACCAAAACATGCAGGCCTATATACATGCAGTTTATATTTACACTGCCAGTATACAAACATGCACATTGAACCGTCTGGAATGTTGCAGTATAGATGTTCATATGTCACAGGAAGAAAAACGATGCAAATACAATTCATTCATTCATTCAATGGAGTCGGAAACATGTTCTTTTACTTTATTACTAGAAATACATGTAGACGTTTTTATCTCAAAATTATAAAAGGTTCTGTTCTTTATAGAAATATACAACGAATAGCAGTAACAGCAGCCTGAGAGGGGGCCCGGGGAGAGAAAGAGAGATGGGGAGAGAAAGAGAGATGGGGAGAGATGGAGAATATGACAGAGAAAGAAATTGTTAAAGAGAGAGAGTCAGTAGTAAGACAGAAAAGGAGAGTGCATGATATAAAAGAAATGAAATATGGGTGGAAGAGATGGAAATGGATAAGATCTTGTCTGCTGATTGAGAGCCAGAAGGGTGTTGATCAAAACACTATAGAGTACCAAAGCTGTGACGTCATCAAAAAATCTATTTTTAGAATTTCTCAATTTTTTCTTCATATTCCGAAAGAACATCAAAAATAATGTCCAAATGTCGAAAACCAATTGAATATGTTAAGTATTGGCTGAGATATGACCATCTGAATAAATATACTCCCCATAGGAACTCAGTGTTATATGCTCTGGCTCCGAATGGTTAGGAGCCAGAGCATATAACACTGAGTTCCCATAGGACATATATTCATTCAGATTTTTTGATGACGTCACACTTCACCACTAGAACTAAGAATTAATGCCCCTCTAGCTCCCAGCAGTTGATTTAATGGTACCATGATATTTCTATCAATATCACCACAATCACCCTTCACTTCTCATCTATATCTGAACGATGAATAGATGCATTTCACTTCATGCAATCGACATGAACTTGAAAGAAAATCACTTTTCACAGCTTGCTGATATTAGGTAGTGAGTGGAAAGTATTATTGCTCCGAAATAGTCTATATGATATACTCGGATATATCCACAGGGAATCCAATTTTACATCTACTCAGATCCAGAAGGGCACTGAATCTAGATAACAGTGTACGAGTTAATTTCCTTCTGGCTCTACGTGAACGGATGATTTGCGAAGGTCCGTCAAATGAAGTGGGAATGTATATAGGAGAAGGTAATCAGCAAACAGTACAATGACACTGCTCTGAAACTCTTTCATTTCACGGTCGGTCCAAGACATTGAATGAATTCATAAATCATCTATGGAGAGCTAGAAAAGGTATAACTTCTGTGTGAAAAGTATATGGGCTAACACCTTTCTGGCTCTCACTATCAGCAGATGAAATATTACTGGGCCTTTAAGTGCAATCGTGCTGCCTTGTGCTATATCTGACTACCGGGTAGGTCTTTTTTTAGCAGGTTGCGAGGGAAGAAGAAATGATATGAAATGAAATGAATCACATGGAGTGGATTACTCTACAAATGAAATTTGAAAGTCATTCAGGAACTTCTTTCCAGGAATGAAATATCCTACCCTCTCTTCCAGACGAGATATATTTGCTATCTCAGTAAATATATAACCTACTTCTAAAGGAAATTATTTATCTTATTCCCCTCCTCTGCTCTTCATCCCTTCCTGCCTCTCCCCCTCTCTCTTTCTCTCCTTCCCTCTCTCTCTCTCTCTCTCTCCTTCCCTCTCACTCCCTCCTTCCCTCTCCCCCTCTCTCTTATCTCTCTTTCTCTCTCTGTTTTCTTTCATTTTCTCTTTATTTATTTTCTCTCTCTATCTCTTTCTCTTTCTTATTACCTTCTCACTTGCCATCTTCTTCAGTTTAAGAAAATATGGGCATCTCAAATCCAGCCAGTTTTGAAAATATATACATTCATTTTTTTTTAAATCACACCTTCTCACCCTCTTCCTCCATCCTGCCCTCTTCTTTTCCATCACTTCCTTCCTTAAAACCTCTCCTAAAATCATCAATCATGTAAAAATCTGACACTTAAGAATTGAGTAATCCCTAAATCTGACTTCTTATACCCTTCCATCACTCACTCACATCCTAGGAGATGCCCATGGTGGACATGCTTTCAATTTGATCACTTTCCACCTCTTCTCCCACCTTGCTCTCACTCGATCATCCTCTAGAAAATTAACATTTTGATATTTTGTGAGTGAGTCATTGTTTGCGGTAACAATATGCAGAGCCCTCCGCGTGTACCAGGTTGAATAGATGCGATACAGGCGGGTTGAGCAGATGCAATACTGCATAATGCTCTTACGTACACTGGTCAATCAGGCATGCATCTTTTGTGCTCTAATAACATATTGATTTCTATATACCGGTACACATGTACACTATTTTTCATGCCTATTTTCCTCGGTAAATGAATCTGTCGTTAATTGTAAGGGGATGAATTACTTTTGTTTCTTCACCTACAAATAATTTATCCCTGCTCCTCATCTCTTGATTCATTTCCCTCCAGCCCTCCATGCACAGGCATACTTTTTCATTTTACATGTTATGGATGACCACATTGACTCATAGCTTCCCATTTGAAATTGCATTTATATCAATAACTATTCACCATAACTAGCATGGATTACGAGGGAACATATGGCTTTCCCAATTACCTCCACGTTTAAAGATATGTTCAAGAAAAAAACAGCAAGACCAATTAGCTTTCCTTTCTTTTCTTTTCCTTTTATACAATATTACTGACTACCTTTGCAGAGAGATTAATGTAGAGACCAGCAAACTGTTTTATAACAATGCATATATTTTCTAGATCATTCTAGAATAGGCCGATGTTATTTCGTCAAAAAATACATTTTTAAAGATCTGCACCAAAATCTTACTTGCTTGTTGGCTAAACCATAAAGAGTTTCCATAAAGAAAAAAAAAAACTGTTCACTCTCTTTGAAACAAGTAAGAACCCTTCCTAACCTCTCTGCCAGTCAATAAGAATGAAAAATTTCCCTTGGAGACTATAATTTGTGGGAAAGAACCTGTATCGAAAGACTACTAGGAATGATCTATTTTTTAATGTACGGTCAGTGTCCTGCACGACACCTGTTAACCTGCACCTGGTAACAGTACGAATGCCATCGCCTGTCGCAACAATCGAGGACGGCTTGATAAATTAGTTCCTCCCAGCACTAATCTGATAAAAGCTTGTAATTCATATTGGTGCTATATACATGGTATAATACCCAATATCATGTCTTAATCTATTTTCAACCTAATAATGAATACAAATTAGTTTTCCATTATTCTGAGATTGCTTTCAGGATAAGTCAGCAAATGATGTTCAACCCTAATCTAAGGTTTTAGTATATTTCCCATTTTATTGGTTTATCTATGTTTGCAAGAAATATTTCTTTGTATTCTTTGCCTTTGTATGTTTTTATGAAAGTGGTGAATAAATTCAATTCAAGTCAATTCAAAGGTGTATATTCTATAAATCTCAGAAATAGGGGGAAAAAAAGAAATACAGCTGACATTGCAACACAGTACCGGTACTACATAAGTGAAATAGGAATGTACTATAGAAATATGCCTGGAGATAGAGGGCTAGAAAAGAAACCACTGATTAGAGTGGAGACAAGTTCAAATTTCCAACCATTTCATTCATGTTCATCCTCCACAACTATATAGGCTTACAACTTCAGTTCCAGAGAATGGTCATACATGTAATGTAAATGGTCAAAATTTCGAACTGGTCACATCTACCGTAACCCTCAACGCCTGTATTATCCATGGCAACTGTTGATGCCTAGTAATACAAATCTTAGATGCCACCTTTACATGAAGGCTACCTGTCTATAGTGGTCGCCTGTATTGCCTCACTGTAGAAGGAAACATGTGTAGAAGAACCTGTTTATAAAGGCAACCTGTCTACAATGGCCTTAATAGACAAGTTTGACTGTACACTTGTAACCCAACTCATACAATAACTGTTTAATAGATATCTTGTCACATACAAAATCAAAGCATAATAACATTACAGGCCACAATATTATACTTATTCTACTTTGGTCTCTGCAAACGTTATACCGGTAACTGATATTAGTGTTTCCCAGTATTTTGCCAATTGAAGCATAAAATGTCCAATTATATGGCATACTGAGAACAAATTCTGTTGATGAATGTTGAATTTATCTAAAAATGGATTAATTGTAAAATAATGTTAACTCAAGTTCAAGCATGAAACTGCATGGTTTCATGACTATAGCCACAAAACATTTCGTACTACTTCGCCCTACATTCATACCTCTGAGCCAAAGTGTCTCTCTCCTTCTCGATCGACTCCCAGAATCCCAACCCAGCGTCAAAAGCTTGCAAGTGTATAGTAAAATAATCCAAACTGAATGTACGTTTTTAAATCACGTACATGGCTGAAGAAAACTTGTCCTAGCTGACATGTTATGGACAGATTGTACCTTACTGACAGCCCTTCAGGTAGCAAATGAACAAGCAATTAGATGGTCGGTCGCAGTTGTATGGCCGTCATCTCAGCGTTGCCTAACCTTTGCTCACAAGGTAAACAATAGGGGCACGTGGTAATTGCCCCAGGTGGGAAGCTCAAAAATATAGGTAGGTGCTTTTCAGCGGGGACAATGCCCCATGGCCAATGGGGTGTAACAAATTTGTAGCTGTCAAAAATATCAATATTTCAGGGTTCAACCGCAGTGGGGTTTGTTATTTTTGTTGAATTCACTCTGGGTCCGAGGATTGTATTCCTACGTGGAGAACACGGCTTCAGAGAAGATTTATCACAACCAAAAAAGTGAATGGTAGTTTTAATATTTATAACAAAATGGTGAGCTAGACTTGATTGGCATATTGGTATAGTATGTCACATTATCAATGAGCCGTATATGTACTAGACGTATACAAGATTGGAAAATAAAATTCCTTCATCCAACAAGTTTTTTTTTATAGGGATGCTATGTGATTATTAGGACATTTCATCAGTCTACAGTTGTTCACAGAAAGGCTTCCTTGCTACATTATATGAAGTTGTTACTCCTTGAAGTTGCAAACTCATTATTATCTGAGAGTGTTATTGGTGTCATTTTTGTTTTCACAAAAATATGTACATGTAGCTTTCACACAAGATTTGTATTGACACCACTATCCAGAAGATGTCCAACTCCCTGATAAAACAAACTGAAATTCTATAGAACATGATACATCTACTTATTTTTCACACAAAATACACAATATATTCTTATCCTTGTAAGTTATGATGCCATTTGTATCAATGGTGGCTGGACTCCCTACATATTTCTATTCTAAGAGTCTAATTTCTTGCATCATTTTGTCACAATACTTGTTTTATGAACCCATTAAAGAAGTTTGAATAATTGTTATTGCATGGACCTGCAGAATTTTATATATTTGTTTACACCTCCGTATCCAAGCACTCTTTGTCGATCAGTTTGTTTATTTACGTTATTGCTTGTTTCTTTTCTCTAAAATATGATTGGAATCTCATAAACTTGCTTTCATCATTGTCAAACTTCTCACTTCAATTGTGGCACAGTTGCAGTTCTGCTTTTATGTCCCCTTTTCTTTTCATTTCATTCTTTACGGTCAATTTCAATTGGTATTCAAAGTATGTATTGTACTTCGTATAAAATTTGTATACAGTATGTGTTGGCTTGCAAGGTCTGTCTCTCTCTCTCCATCTCTCTACCCTGGACTTCTACATAGTTGACATTGACAGGTTGTTGTTTTGATTACCCTGAATAGGACCAGAGCACATCACATCACACACCTTTCCAACCCCCATGATGGCTTCTCACACTTTTCAGTTTTGTAAAGTGACACAAAGGTGTGATATCGCATGCATTTTGTCCTCAAAAGCACGGTTTTGAAACCAGAGGAGTGTCAAGCAAATATAGAGCGACAAATGAAAACATATTGAACTTGTAAATGCGGCAAACATCAAGCACGAACCCAACTAACAGAATTGTGTCATAGTCACATGCAAAGATTCCCTTTGGTTGTTTCACATGTTCTTTAATACTGGAGACTTGGGTGTTTGTGGTAAATGCTTGATTGATGATTTTTTATTCATAATTTTCTTTTCTTTTCTTCCAAAATAATTTATTATCTTTTTCCCTTTAATCTGATATGATACAACCAAAGAAAGAAAATGCAGCATGATTAGCACCACTGACTGGTTAACTTTCCTGCATATATATGTCATGATTATAATGACAACTGTTCATTTGCACTCTTTAATATATAGTCTTCCTCATTATGCACAATGTGTAATGTAATCCTCTGTCAACAAGAAACAGGTCCAGACATTTAGTTTTATTTGTACAACAATATATCTCTAATATTACTTGTGAAAGGGGACCAATTATTTTTAATTTTTGTTTTATTCTGCTCTGTATGTTGGGATTCAATGCTCCTTTAGTATAATTTACAAAATGGCTCTTCATATATTAACTCTGTGAAGGGCTTTGGGAAGTTTATCACTCTAAATGAAGGTAAATCTATTTGTATGCACATAGACATTGCAACATAGAATTCCGCCAAAAGTAAGTCGCGTTCAGACATGACGTGGTAAATTAACAGCCATAGTTTTTTTTAATGATGATGTAAGTAAAATATATTTTACATTTTCTCAGTGAATGCATTTAGGTCATTTGCTGTGCATAGTTGCCATTCATTTAAACACTTAGTAAAAAAAAACAACACTGCAATTTTGGAGGGTTCACCGCAGCATATCCGAACAATCCTTTAGAATAGCTTCAAGAAAATAGCCTGCCTGTAATATGCTTTCTCATCTAAATGTGAACAAACTTCTATGTTCATGATGCGGTTTTCAGAGACAACCATCACGACAGGTGACCATGCATGCTTCCAGCTATAAAGTTTAAATGTATTCCTTCTCTCTTGAGTCTTGGCCATCATCTAGTTTGCAGGCACAAACCCTTGCCAGTCTTTGTGAGAGAGAGTGTCTGAACATTGAGACTATCACGTAGACTACACAGTCTACTGCACATTATGGGATCTGTGCTTCAGCTGCTCCTAGCTCCCAGCCAGAGACTGACCCCGTGTCCACACACAACATTTTCCGTGATTAGGCGTAATTAGTTATACCGTTTCGAGATAGTTATACGATGAAATTGTGTGTGTGAACGCTTACTAACACTATGTCGTATGACGAAACGCGGGTTTGGGCATTTTTTCGAACTAGAACTCTATAAAGAATCACGCATAATCACGGAATGTGTTGTGTGTGGACGTAACTAGTATAACTAGTCAAACTAGAACGGTATAAATGGGCGGGGCTTAACGTAACCTCGCACGAAAGGAGACCTGACCTCTCATTTCCGCTTCCATTTCATGACCGCAGTAGCAAACTGCGCACCTATACAACGTTTCGCTGTAGATAGTTTCGGGATTACTTTCTTGTGTGTGTGGACACCCTGGAATTTATACAATGAGAGTCTGTACCTGCAGACTAACAATCATCACTGATAGTCTTTTCTATCATCATCCTAATCGCCATGACTACCGGGCTCATCTTCCCATCATCGAGACGATCATGCTCTCACAGTCCATGACATCTTCACAGTTTTCTTCAGTCCTCCCTTCATTCTTCAGTCCTCCCTTCATTCTTCTCTCATCATTATAATTGCAGCCTCAGGTCTTCGGAGACGGAGTGGAGAAATATTTGGTTACAAATGGAAAGAAAATATGCATATAGTGGCCGTTTGAGGGCTATCGCAACAACGTGAAAGGTTATTTGAAACCATTCCCCATCTCTTCATAGAACTTTGCGTGTTAAGTTAAGTATTTTGTATTTCATTTAATGAGGAAAATATATAAACTATAACACTAAATTACAGTCCTTTTACCTATCAAAAGTGTAACGCACTGCTGGTCTTTACTTTCCTGGATTTTTTTTCTTCTTCTTGTTTTATTTGTGTGCGGGGGTGGGGGGGGGGGGTGTGAATGTGTGATTCCATCACTTCTCAGTTGTAAGGTAAGGACATTTCTCAGCCTGGGATGCCTAGGATTCTAAATAAAAAGGACAGAGTTACATTTATAAGCTACAGCTCACTTTGTAAAAAAAGGAAAGAACAAAGCTGTGTAAAACACTCTAAAAATGGCAAGCTATGAAATGCAAAAGTTTATGTACAGGCCTATACACTACACATAGATCATAATTTTAACAAAATTAAATCCCGTGTACCAACTTGTCAATGACTAGATATTAAAATCAGTATCCACATTTTATCAAGTTCATATTTCGTCTCTTGGAGCCATCAGGAAATAAACTCATATAATTTAAAGGGATCGTTTAACAATCTTAAAACTGAGATACACGGCCCTACGTGTTATCAGTGTCTGTGATATGGTGTAATATTGAAGCCCTAAAAAAAAATTGCGCTTCAAAATGATCAAGAAGTGCCTCAAAAAAGTAAAAATCTTTGAGTGACTGGTTTTACCATACTCGTTTTCCCCAATAGACTGTAGTGTTATGAAAACCGTCAGGCGAACGGTTTTCAAAATTTGTAATTCCAATCATAAATATCTTGATAATCAGACAGGCGATCGGCTTGTAAAAGTCATGGGGTTCCTGACTGACCTAAAGGTTTATAATTATCATTGCATCATGAGCTAAATCCAGAATTTTGTTTCAGAATCTGAGACAAAGTTACCGGATCCCTTTAAGACAGACTTTATAGTGCCCTTCTGGCTCCAAACAGATGAATGTTCTGCTTGCCCTCTGTGTAGATTTATATGTTTAAGTGGTCTGTCCGAGCAGAGTTAGATTTAGAATATGCAGTCCCAGTAATAAGCAGGTCTATTAATTAATTGGAGGGACTTGTTAGGTTTCACTGAAGAATAACAGACCTGGAGCCTGTAGAAGAGAATTTCCAATATACGACCGATACGTTTTTCTCTACAGTAAACGACATTATTATCTATATGGGTCTTCCAAGGGGTACAATAAATCAATGTATTCAATATCTTTAGCACAGTACCCGGATGACCGACCAATATTGTTTTTGTTTTCCCCTGTCATCCATCAACTTAGCGCAACGTACGCGCGACACAGTCAGACGCGCGCAGCGCAGGGTACGCTTATTTTGCGTTATGGGTTATGTTAAACCTCCTTTGTGAACTCGGGCCAAAGCCATATTTACTGAGATAATTAAGTCAATATGTTGTTATTTTGTTAGTCAACCTAATATAGATAATAATAATAATATTTCGTGTGATACAAGAATATATTGTTCTCGCTATTAAAGACAATATTAGACACGTCTCTGACTCATCTAATATTGTCATAGCTCGAGCAATATATTCTTGTATCCCACTCAAAGCCATCCAATATTATATAAGTATTACCACAGCGATTTAAAAAGGTGAATACTGATATTTTTAAGGTGTGCACAGACTACCCTGCTAGCTATAGCAAGGCAATAACAGCAGTTTCTCTACATAACAGTTTCAATGCTTCAGAATTTATGACATGGTCAAGTAATTACCTCGTATTTGATAATGGATATAAATATGTAACTGTTCTAAAAACCTTTTCTCAACTCAAGTTGACCATCTCATCACCCGAAATCAGAAAGCAAGATAAGAACTGACCTCATACTCGTCATGAAATGTTGAAAGGAAAGTCCTCATCACACACAACCAAAGACTGAGAGCAAAGAGAATTGAGACTCTACAATGTACTCTTCTCCCTATGGAATCCCAATACACATGCAACAGCTTTAGCTCTCCGTAGCAAGAACATGAATGCAAAATATTTAAAGCGAGGACCTCAGACCAATATTATCTGCTTTCCTTAGCATTAACAGCTCATGACTGGAATATCCTTTCGGGACATCCCCCTTGTAAACGTACGTGCTAAGGATATAGACGCTACATGTTTTACCAGCAGCTTTGCAAGTTGGCAACCTAGCTGTCCTCTCCCTCTCATATCCTCCTCATTAGCGCTTTGTATCTTGATCAACAGGTGATGAAACACTCAGTAACGAACATGACTTTCTGTTAATTAGTGCAAAGATTGGATTAAATGATAGTGTGGACCACTTTGTATCATACCGGTACACAGTTTAGGATGCGAGTCTAAACATTAGTTCATTACATGAAATTTGAATACTTTTCATGTAACATGCACGTGTTGATGTTATTAGTATGCCAGAATCACTTGATGTAACTGGTTTGAAAGAACCAATGACTTTCTAGTTGTTTTAATACAACAGCAAAACCATTAACCAGCCTAATTCAAATTTCCCAAGATCCCCCACCCCAAAGTGCACTGAAGCAAAAATGTATAGTTTACTTTTTACTTCATATACATGTATATGCCTAGTTTGCCTACATTAATCATAGCTCGAAAAATGAATACATAAACAGAAGTGCGCATACACATGCCATTCAATATGTAGAGCAGGTGCACATGAACATGGCATTCAAGTTTGGACAGTTTGAAAAATAAATCACAAAACTCAGCAGGGTAAATTTATATTTTAGAAATAAGTGCAGGGCGCGACAAACCCGCTTGCCCGACGTCCCGGGGCAACCAAATTGAGCCGTCGGGCAAGTAAATCAAATTATCACTTGCCCGATTCGGGCAAGTGATACTTTTACAGTAATTTCCTAGTGTCCAAGAACTCTACCATTCACCCGTCAACTTCTTACCCGTCGTCAAAATCCAGAAGCAAAAAAGCGATCGTTCCGATTTCGAAAAAACTTCACAGACAGCTAGCCAGCTCAGCTAGCTCAGCGCGCATGCAACAGTGACACTTCAAGCCATGAATGCCGCTCCGCCTCCACGCACGGCCGGCCGTGAGCTAGCTAGAGACAGCTAGCGCGATCGTACCAGCTGCGAGCTTATTCGCGCTCTCTCTCTCTCTAGCTCTGCAGGCCGCACCGACAGGCCTTTGCTATTCTCTGATTGCCGATTGGTTGAATCACGCCAAATATGACGTCATTATTCTAGGGAAATGAACACGTGCGAATCGGAATGGAATAAACAACAGGGATTTTCTAGTAAGTACAAAAAGTCAAATGTTTGATATTTATTCATAATGACTGTTAATGATTGTGAACATATTATTTAAAACTCGCTGCTCATATAAATCAGATGAATGTTTTTGTCTCGTTTTCAATTTATTACTGCGGTCTCAAGATCCGACCGAGCGAGTCATTTTGATAATAGATTCATGTGAATCTGATTATTTATGGAGAATCAATAAAATGCGTTTTTTAAACCTTCAACCATCCTTTGTTGACCATTTTCTTTGACATATTAGGTTATTATTCAGTACAGTTACACTGTACATGTATGTGCATTAATTTGCTATCTAAAACACTAACTTATCATTACGAGATAATAAATGCTTTAACCTCGAGTCCTTTTTCGCTTTAAAGTTTTGGGCAAGTGGAAATATTGTTTGGGCAAGTAAATTGAAAACCCACTTGCCCGACAGGGCAAGTGGTGAAAAAAATTCTTGTAGCACCCTGTAAGTGTGATGAATCAGTGAATGTCTTGATGGCAATATATATGGTTGAGGTCTGGAGGAAACGGCACAATCGGGCAAATCTTGGTCAAGCTCTGCCTGCAGCACCAAATGAAACAGAATTATTATTGGCTAGCGAGGAGTCATAACATCCCCCTCGAGGACAGCATACAGATTAGATTCTTGAAGAGGTGATTAAGGATGCAGGGAGGTCTTTCTCACACGAGGCTCCTGGACGTTTGCGTTGCTACGGAGATGTATATAGGTCCAGGGATGTTTCTTGGATGTTATTGCCCTATGGGAGCCTCTCAATAACTTGATATGGAGATGGACTATATGCAGCATGTAATTTATTCCACGCTCCAAGCCTATTTAAGAGAGCAGAGTACCGGTATACATGACATTACAAACCACCTGCCTTAATATGAAGTGAGAAGAATTTTATCATATTCACTGTCATTGATTGTGTCAAGATGAAAATAAACTAACAGAGAGGTAATAATAAAATAAAATTTTAAACAAATTCTCTGGGCCACATTAATAGATGAATTATTTGTAAGTTAAATAGAAATTTATAGTAAATTATTAAAAGG